AACTAGACCTCGCCATCCCTGGGGGGCTGCGATTTGTGAAACTGTCGCCACTTTCGAGGCCTGCTGAGGGGCACAGCAGTGGGTACCCACCGCAGACTCAAATTAGACCTCGCCATCCCTGGGGGGCTGCGATCTGTGAAACTGTCGCCAATTTCGATGACTGCTGAGGGGCACAGCACAGTGGGTACTCACCGCAAACTCAAATTAGACATCGCCATCCCTGGGGGGCTGCGATCTGTGAAACGGTCGCCACTTTCGAGGCCTGCTGAGGGGCACAGCACAGTGGGCACTCACCGCAGACTCAAAGTAGACCTCGCCATCCCTGGGGGGCTGCGATCTGTGAAACTGTCGCCACTTTCGAGGCCCGCTGACGGGCACAGCACAAAGGGTACTCACCGCAGACTCAGATTAGACCTCGCCATCCTTGGGGCTCTGCGATCTGCGAAACTGTCGCCAGTTTCGAGGGCTGCTGAGGGGCCCAGCACAGTGGGTACCCACCGCAGACTCAAATTAGACCTCGCCGTCCCTGGGGGGCTGCGATCTGTGAAACTGTCGCCACTTTCGAGGCCCGCTGAGGGGCACAGCACAGTGGGTACTCACCGCAGACTCAGATTAGACTTCGCCATGCTTGGGGCGCTGCGATCTGTGAAACTGTCGCCACTTTCGAGGGCTGCTGAAGGGGCACAACACAGTGGGTACTCACCGCAGACTCAAATTAGACCTCGCCATCCCTGGGGGGCTGCGATCTGTGAAACTGTCGCCACTTTCGAGGCCTGCTGAGGGGCACAGCACAGTGGGTACTCACCGCAGACTCAAACTAGACCTCGCCATCCCTGGGGGGCTGCGATCTGTGAAACTGTCGTTAGTTTCGGGGCCTGCTGAGGGGCACAGCACAGTGGGTACTCACTGCAAACTCAAATTAGCCCTCGCCATCCCTGTGGGGCTGCGATCTGTGAAACCGTCGCCACTTTCGAGGCCTGCTGAAGGGGCACAGCACAGTGGGCATTCACCGCAGACTCAAATTAGACCTCGCCATCCCTGGGGGGCTGCGGTCTGTGAAACTGTCGCCACTTTCGAGGCCTTCTGAGGGGCACAGCACAGTGGATACCCACCGCATGTTGGCCAGCTACTCTTGCCACTTGATGCGCATGGGTTGGGTCCGTTGCAGGGGGGCTGCGGGGCAGGATGAGGCGGCGGAGTCGGAGGAGGAGGAGGATGCGCATGAGGAGCAGGACGTTCGGCGCTCGCGCGGGACGTCGTTGGCGTCGTCGCCGCCGGTAATAATTATTACTATTCCCAACCCTCCTGCGTTGGGTTCTCGTTTTGAATACAGCACTGCTCGCGCGAACCTTCCCTCCTTCCCGTCCCTCTCTCCCCCCCTGCCTTTGACCTCGCCATCCCTGGGGGGCTGCGATCTGTGAAATTGTCGCCACTTTCGGGGCTTGCTGAGGGGCACAGCACAGTGAGCACTCACCGCAGACTCAAATTAGACCTCGCCATCCCTGGGGGGCTGCTATCTGTGAAACTGTCGTTAGTGTCGAAGCCTGCTGAGGGGCCCAGCACAGTGGGTACTCACCGCAAACTCAAATTAGACCTCGCCATCCCTGGGGGGCTGCGGTCTGTGAAACTGTCGCCGCTTTCGAGGCTTGCCGAGGGGCACAGCACAGTGGGTACTCCCCGCAGACTCATATTAGACTTCACCATCCTTGGGGCGCTGCGATCTGTGAAACCGTCGCCACTTTCGAGGGTTGCTGAGGGGCCCAGCACAGTGGGCACTTACCGCAGACTCAGATTAGACCTCGCCATCCCTGGGGGCTGCGATCTGTGAAACTGTCGCCACTTTCGAAGCCTGCTGAAGGGCACAGCACAGTGGGTACTCACCGCAGGCTCAGAGTAGACCTCGCCATCCTGGGGGGCTGCGATCTGTGAAACTGTCGCCACTTTCGAGGCCTGCTGAGGGGCCCAGCACAGCGGGCACTCACCGCAGACTCAGACTAGACCTCGCCATCCCTGGGGTGCTGCGATCTGTGAAACTGTCGCCACTTTCGAAGGCCTGCTGAGGGGCACAGCACAGTGGGTACTCACCGCAGACTCAGATTAGACCTCGCCATCCCTGGGGGGCTGCGATCTGTGAAACTGTCGCCACTTTCGAGGCCTGCTGAAGGGGCACAGCGCAGTGGGTACTCACCGCAGACTCAGATTAGACCTCGCCATCCCTGGGGGGCTGCGATATGTGAAACTGTCGCCACTTTCGAAGGCTGCTGAGGGGCCCAGCACAGTGGGTACTTACCGCAGACTCAAATTAGACCTCGCCATCCCTGGGGGGCTGCGGTCTGTGAAACTGTCGCCACTTTCGAAGCCTGCTGAGGGGCACAGCACAGCGGGCTTCCCGCACGTCTTTCTCCCGCTCTTCGTTCCCGACTTCTCATGTCCTCTTCGAGCCTGTAGCTGTCGCCCCTCTTTCTTGTATGCTTCTCCTGCGAATCATGCCATCGGCGCGTGTCCCAAGTAGCTTACATATCAAACTACGGATCCTGCAATTCGATTGTCCATGCAAGTTTTGGCCAACTCCTCGTTTCCCAGGATACAAATGGGTTGGGTACGTCACAGGGTAATTGTGGACTGGCTCGCGTGGTGGCAGACGTGGCCCCGATCGAAGGGTGCGCCACCGACCTCTGAGCAAGCTCGTCGGCACGCTCATGCCGGCGTCGGGCTCGGTCGGGAAGGTCATGTGGCGCTGAGGATGGCGACGAGGGGAACGACACGGTGGGAGAGGCAGCTGGAGGAGCAAGCTGACGAGACGGACGAAAACGAGGAGAGGAGGGAGGCAAAAGAGGATGAAAGGACGAAAAGGAGACGGAGGAGGAGGAGGAGGAGGCCGAGGAGGAGGAGGAGGAGGAGGAGGAGGATTGTGCTAGGATTGTGCTACTTAGGTCGAAGCCCCGATGGAAAACACGAAGCCCGACTCCTCACGCCTTGCAAGCCGTACTTACATAGGCGTTCTTGGTGAATGGCCGCACTCCCATAACGAATATGTCTACCCTTGGCCGTTCTCGTTCGGGAAGGTGGATACCTCCTTCACAATACCGTCCACTTACACCGACCGTCAGAAAAGCTTGGCCTAAAACGCGGCTGACACGCCTGACAGTCGTTGCTGCCACTGCCTGTCTTCCCCTTCTCGCACGAGTTGATGCCAGCGTTGTAGCTAAGATATTGGGCTCCAGCTACGCCCCCCACTTCTCGCACGAAACTTGCCCAGAGCTCTCGACTGAATTGGGCTCCAGCTTCACCCCCCGCTTCCCGCAAGAGGCTTCTCACAGAGCCCCCGCCGATACTGGGCTCTAACTTCGCCCCCCACTTCTCGCAAGAGGTTGGCCCTGAGCTCTCGACACTAGTGGGCTCCAGCTTCGCCCCCCGCTTCTCGCAAGAGGCTTGCCACAGAGTGCCCGACCATATTGGGCTCCAGCTTCGCCCCCCGCTTCTCGCAAGGTGCTTCCACTGACTCCCAGCCCTTCCGCACGCGAGCTGATGCCCGCACGCTTTCTCGCAAGGAAAGATACCGGCGTTGTAGCTGATGACCCTCCCCTGCGTTCGCCGTGCCACAGTGCCAGAAGCTGCCACTGGTCGCCTTCTCGCAAGAGCCCACACCTGCTTTGTAGCTGGCTTCCCGCTCCCGCGTTCGCCCGTCGCGCCATGCTGGATGAAAGCACTGCGCTTCTTCTCGCAAGAGCTGATACCAACATTGTAGCTGGGCACCCCGCTCCCACGTTCGCCCTTATCGCAACGCCGGGTGAGAGCACTGCGCGCCTTGTCGCAAGAGCTGAAACCAATATTGTAGCTGATGACTCCGCTCCCACGTTCGCCCTTCTCGCAATGCCGGGTGAGAGCACTGCGCCCCTTCTCGCAGGAGCTGATACCAACATTGTAGCTGATGACCCCGCTCCCACGTTCGCCCTTCTCGCAATGCCGGGTGGGAGCACTGCGCCCCTTCTCGCATGAGCTGATACCAACACTGTAGCTGATGACCCTCTCCTGCGGATGCCTTGGTTCCGGTCTCACCTCCGTCTCGCGGAGCACAGCCAGAGCCTGATGCCACTGCTGGTCCTTCTCGCACGCGTCGATACCAACGCTGCAGTTAAGAACGTCTGGTTCCAGTCTCACCTGCGTCGCGCGGAGCACAGCCAGAGCCTGCTGCCACTTCCCGCCGTTCTTGCACGCGCCGACTGTAGCGCTGTAGTGAAAAACGTCGGGCACCAGCTTCACCTCCGCCTCACGGAGCCCAGCCAGAGCCTGCTGCCACTGCCCACCCTTCTCACACGCGCTTCTTTCGGCGCTGTAGCTGAGGACGGCGGGCTGTATCCCTACTCTCTCCCGCTCGCGGAGTCGGGCCAGAGTCTGCTGCCACTTCTCGCACTTCTCGCACATGCTGATTCCAGCGTTGTGGCTGAGGAAGGCGTCGGGCCCCTGCGATTCTTGGGCTGTGCGCTGTAAGGCGTCACCCCTGCTTGCCAAGAAGAGGAGCAGGGGAAGGGGGAAACGGACGGGGAGAGGGCGAAAGGAAGGGGAGGCATCTTGGCGGCCCCGCATGCGCCTATTCGCGGCGCCGCCACTGCGGGCGACGGCGTTTATTGATGGCACCATGCTTCTTTACGGCTCCCCGAAGCATCGCCGCTCCGAAGTTGGCGACGGGAACGCCCCGGCGGTCCACGCAGGGACGGGCCGCTCGGGCACGGAACGGCTGAGGAGGAGGAGGAGGAGGAGGAGGAGGAGGAAGAGCAAGGGGAGGAGGAGGAGGAGGAGGAGGAGGAGGAGGAGGAGCAGGGGGTGGAGGACGAGGAATGAACCGAGAGGAGCGAAGCGGATCACCTGGAACGCGCCTGCCTATCGGCGTTGGGTGAGCATTCGGCTCGCCCTCACGGAGATTGCGAGACCCATGCCCGCGGAGTACAATACGGGCAAGAACCATGACTGGGAGTCGCGCTCCCGCGAAGCCGTGGCGCCTTGGGCGGTAGGCGCCGAAGTAGGGCCCCCAGCTGGGGTTCGGCTCCGCGCAGACGCCCCGCCACCCGAGGCAACGCTCGAAGAAGAACGTGTTGGATAGGTGGATGGGGTGGAACGCGCCTGGGCGGCTTTATTCTTCGTCCCGCCATTCACTGCGTGTCCGTGCCCTTCACAATCCACGAAAACCGACTCCTCACACGATCGTTACTGTCATCGTCTTCGCCACTATCTGCCGCTGCCACTGTCAAAATCGTCAGCCCGATCACAACAAACGTCAACATGGACACCTTCAACAACGTCATACTTCGCCCTGCGTCCACCAAGCCGGCCAACTCTAATTCCTCTTGGCCTACCGTGAGTACGCACGGTGTCCAGAACATGAAGTACTACCACACGCTGGGGGTGCGCATTCCTGAAAGTGCCGAGGCACAGCGAGGCCAGACCAGCACATACACAATTGACTGCATCAATTGCCGCGGCATCGGACATTCAAGTAGCAACGGCAGCAGGAACAACAGGGGCGGCAGCAGAGTGAGCAGACCAAGCAGCAGCACCAACAGCGGTGGCGGAATACGCACTGCTGCCATACCGCGGTCCAGGGAGGCAGGCATGGAAGAGACATGCTCAACTTGGAGGGGGCCCATGCGCCTATGTCGACGAACACGCCCTCGCGAGCGGGGGGCCCGTGCAGCGGGTCTAAATCCGTCCTCGGCTGGGGGCTCCACTTCTGGAGGTCAGCGGAATGGACGCCTCCTACTCGCGCTCCTCATCATGGTCGTCATTTCCTCCTTCCCCCACCTCCGTAACTGTTTTCCTGATTCTGCTCGCTCTCCTCGGCGGCATCCTGATCCTCACGCTCCATCCTCACTGTCCAGTCCTCCTTCCTCCTCCTTCTCTTTTTCTACCTCTTCCTTCTCCTCCCTCCTCTGCCTTCCTCTCCCTACTCCGTATTCCTGTGCCTCCCTCTCCCTCCTCCCCCGCCCCTTCCTTCCTCCTCGATCGCTTGCGGGACGAAGCAAACCGAGTAGTTCAACAACACTTCCTCCTCTTAGAATTGCTTATCCTCCGCCGCCGCAGCCGGAGCCACAGCATAATTTAGCTGCATCGCCTGTCGAAGAGGAGACCTGGTGAGGCAGACCATCCCCTGTCCCCAGTTCCACAGCTCCACTCCAGTCACCTGCAGGCACGCAGCCCTGTCACGCGGCCTGCCCTTCTCGCACTGCTGCTCCTCCTCATCCATCTCCTCATCCTGCTCATGCTCCTCCTCCTCCTCCTCCTCCTCCTCCTCCTCCTCCTCCTCCTCCTCCTCCTCCCTACCTCTCTCACTCTCTCGTCCCCCACTCCCTCCTCAATACTGACTCCTGGACGCCATCTCCTGGGGCGCCATGTGGCCAGGATCCCGAGATGGATCCATCCGGGGCGACCGGCCCCCCCCCCTCATGGGGACGACCGCCTGGGTTGGCCGCCATAGAAGCTGAGGCGAAGGACGAGGGGAAGTACCGCCTGGCCTCGGCCGCCTGGTCAAAGCTCGCGACCTCGCCTCATATGCCTGCCCGACCGCTTTGGAGCACTCGCCCCGCTGCGGAGCTCCTCCTCACTTGCTCTCCAAGAAGAGGACAGGTTCTTCCGGAAACGGGCCCTCGATCCGGCATCCACTCCCCGGGATCACCTCTTCGTCCTGCGAATCGTTGTCTGACAGCTCCCAAGACCCGTGGGTGGACCGAGATCAGCTAAGAACCTCAGGACTGGACTCCCTCAGGACCCTTGGCTTTATAGCGGTGCCCCTCCGTACCCACGCCCGCCAAGGCATCTAGGAGACGGCTGGCGTCCCGCGGATGAAGTTGTGGTAGACGAACCAGTCCTGCTGCCACTGGGACGCCACGAACGGAGGCGCCTATCTGGTGTGGAGGGAATGTGGGGGAACGGAAGACAAGAAGGAGGAAGAGGAGGAGAAGGACGAGGAGGAGGTGGATAGAGAATAAGGAAAGGGAGCAAGGCGGCCGCGTCGTGCACCTGCCAGGATACGTCCGCGCCACCGGCGCAACAGTCGCCTACGTGCACCACAATCAATGTGCACACGACAATGCCCAATGCCTGCATGCAACACAGCGAGGCCCGTGTACGCCACAGTGCCTCCGTTCACCGCAACAACCGCGTGCACCGCAACACCACGTCGGCCATGTACACCGTGGTGCCTGTGTATACTGCACCAGACGTGTGCGCAACAGCGCCCGTGTACGCTACATTGCCTGCGTGCAACATTTCGCTCGTGTACACCACGGCGCTCGTGTACACCACGGCGCATGTGTACACCACGGCAACCATGTGTATCGCAGCGCCTGTGCTCGCCACAATGCCTCCGTGCACCACAGCGCCTTTGCACACCAGAACGCCAAGCGTGCCAGTCAGTCACAAGCCAGGCGCCACGCAACGACGCATCGGCGAGGAATCGACGTGAGCACGAATGACTCACGGATTAAATCGCGCGACGGCCTGCGCGCTTGCCAAAAGCAAACGCCGGGAGCAGTGGAGGACGGGAGGAGGGGGGGATGGGTGAGGACAGAGACAACGCTACTGCAATAACACATGCTGGAGAACAGAGGTGGCCGGCCCAGTGCAGTTTCGGGCGCCCGCGCCTACGACGATGACGGGCTCCGCCCCCAAAGTTCGCACACGAGCCTTCGCAACAAATCATCTTCTGGTGCGTCTGTGATTCCGTTGCATAATTGGCTTTGTCTGTCGAGTAGGTCAGCGCTCAATGATCGTACTCGTGTTTGCTGTCGTACGTATTGGTTGGTAATCCTGGAAAAATACGCGCGCGGTATTTTTGATATTTGTCTCAGGCATGCCGCTTGGAGACCATCCAACCTGTTACGACCCGCTCGGAGTAGCCAAAGCGATTCCAAATTGCACAACCGTTTTGAGAGAACAACTGTTTGAAATACATGAACCGCTCGGCGCGCTGTAATGTTTGCGTGGCCCCAACATAATGTCAACCATTGAAATACACGCGTTGTTTCCCCGATTCGTCTGGTAACCTCTGGCCTGCTGTACCCTTTTGTGCTTAACAGCCCACACATATAAAAGCTTCGATCCACCACTTGCAAGCATTCCCCTGTTTGGGCATACGCGCAACCGTCGGTTCGGACCTGCATCAATACTGTTCCCTTCCAGTTCAATGTCAATCCGTATGTTCACCCTCCGCTATGAGATGGCCGAAAACGATTTCTAAATTGCCCGCGCTTGCACTAAGAAGGACGGTGTCGTCCACATACAGGAGATCGTTGCAGAATACGTAGTCGGGATCTGTGAACTCGGATGCCATGTCCTCGTCTGTTTTGCCAATATCAAACATCATGAAGGTATGTACGATAATGAACAAGTGTGGAGATAGTGGGCAGCCATGCGCACTTCCTGCTCTTTGGTCTCGCAATGAAGAATCGCCACCAAGATCTTGGAGATAAAACGTTCGCTCGTCATATACTCATACAGTGCTTTGATCATCTCTACCATCAGGGCTGGGATCCCAAATCTGGCAAGAGCTAGAAATATCGTTTCGTGTTTGATACGGTCGAATGCTCTGGCCCAGTCCAGCACTACTGCCAAAACGCCCGGTGCGGCCGCAGAAAATCCGCCGTGCGATCGGAATTGCATCCACTGTGCTGCGCTTTGGGCGAAAATCAAGCTGCGTAGACCTGATTCGCTTTTCCGCCCCGCCCTGTTGGATACGTGTTTGCAACATCAATGCCAATGCTTTGTACCCAACTGTCAACAAGGATATCGGGCATTAACTGTCTGGAGTGCTTGCACCGTTCATCTTTATATATATATATATATATGTATATCTACACAGATGTATGTATACATATTTTTGTTATTAGTAACAGCATTAATGTATTCATAAACAAAACGTTTGCAATTGCCCAGTCGTTTGGCAAGCGTTTTTGTTTCTAGCATTGCATACAAAGAGATAGGAGGGGAACGCAGGAGTCTTCCGATGCAGATCGAAAATTCCAAAACGATGGGTGCATGCCATCAGTTCCTGCTGCCTTTGCGATTGCCAGGGCCCGCAATGCTTCCTGTGAGTCTCCCATTGTGCATCCACTTGTGTTGATCGGCGAAGTATTTCCCATAGTGTGTTCCCCATCTGGCAGCTTGTCTGGAACATTGATTTCCCATTGGCAATTTTCGAGAACAACTTTTCGTTGCTCTCGACGACCACCATGTCTCCGTGCACCACAACGCTTGTGTAAAACAGACGCCAAGCGTGCCAACGGGCACATGATTAACTCGCGAGGCCTGTTTGCGGGCTCGCCGCAGACCACGGAGGCCTTCATGACTCGCCATTCACCTCCTGCTCCTCCTCCACTTCCTCCTCCACCTCCTGCACTTCCTCCTCCTCCTCCTCCTCCTCCTCCCTACCTTCATCCTCCTCGCCCTGTCGCCGCCTTCAAAACCATGAGGCACCGACCGGCAACGGCCGACTCCTCCTCACTCTCCTCCTCCTGCTCCTCCTCCTCCTCCTGTTCTTGGCCCTCCTCCTCCTCCTCCGCCTCCACCTCCTCCTCCTCCTCTGCTTCTTCGCGGGGCTCGCCGCGGACTAAAGAAACTCTCGGGGCCCGTCCTTCCAGGCTTTCACGGACTTCAACGGTGGCCGCGGATTTCAATGAGGGAATGGAGTACTTAGCGGGGGGGAGAGCAGCAGAAGGATCGCAAAAGAAGCAACAACAGGAGGAGCAGCAACGGCTGCACGATGGGGTCGAGATCTCCAACGCCGAGGAATTCCCAAAACAATGCTTGCATTCAGGCGATCATGCTCCCCACGCAGTCAGACGCTCATGCGAACGACGAGGACGACTATGGCGGCGGCGGCCGTGGCGGCGAGTGGCGAAATGGTGCCGGCGGCGGCGGCGATCCCCCCAGAGACAACGGCGGCCTCTCGCCCAGCCGAAAACAGCTCGACATCGGTCCCCCGACCCGCCGCCCTCCGAATAGGGCACCGTCGCAGTGCGTCCGCCTGCCCTACGCTCACCGCGATAGCCTGCGAACGCCACAACACGCATGCGAGCACCGAAATCTGCTCTTAAGCACCAAACCGTGCCTGTGAGCTCGGCGCCGCATCAGGTGGGAACCCTGCGAGCGCCACACCACGTTTTTGAGCACCAGAGCCACGACGCGCCTGCGAGCGCAGCGCCATGACTGCGGGGGGCCCGCCCCGCAGCATGTAGGCGGGGCCCACCCCCCACCCCAGTGCGATCGCTAGCATTGCCCAGGGGGGGTCCAGGTGACGAGCGTTATCCTGGGAAAGGAGAACAACAAGAACCGGAGGACGATAACGACGGGGAGGAAGAGCGACCACACCGAATGACTCCGGAGCACGGCCTGCAGCAAGCTCAGCAGCCAATAGCGGCCTTCGCTGCTGCCAGGATTGTTTACTGAAATGTGAAAACGACTGCGTGGATTGCACTGGGGTGGCTGTATGAATATAAAGCGACACGAGGTACAATTGGGGGGGCCCTGCTGGAAGAAAGCGCCTTCTCTTTCCTTTTACGGCGGCGTGGGCGCGTCCGTCACGGGCGCGCCATGATAGCTCAAGGGCCCCGGTGGGCCGATATGGCGGCGCACGAGGCAGTGCAGACAGAGGCGCAGGAGGAGGAGAGGCTGACAGGGGCTCTGCAACCACAGTTCATACCATTCTTGCAGCCGAAACGCCGCCTCGCTTCAGAATGTGAAATTCTTCCAACTGTCGATACCGTAGCCATTCCATGTGCTACCAGAGCCTCAGTGAGGCGCAGCTGGTACAGCTTCCCTGGCTCGAGGTCCGTGGCGACAACGAGCTCACCCGATTGCGCTGCGCCCGTAGCCTGCCCCATCTGGCCCGTGAAACTCTGCGGCTCGGTTCCACGGTGGCCGTATGTTTTGCCAGCGCGCACCAAGAGCCGATCTGACGCGCTGAGCCCCTTGGTCCACTGAAGAAGCCACCTCTTGTCCTCAAAAACCAACTTGACTCGAAAATCGATAAGTCGGAGTCATCGATCGCTCCGACTGAGCACGCGCGTGCAGTCGGAAACGCTGTCGGGAGGGCCCTTGCCGCGAGATGCATCCTGACCGTGCGATTCCAGACCTTGTACCATCCACACATTTGCTCCGTCGCCTGTATCTTGCTCCAAACACCCCTCATTGTCGCAGCGTGGATCCTGAGCGCCTCGACGTAGACGCTGCCCTCGGTCTGGCACCTCTGCTTGTGGACGCGCTGATTGGGATGGCCTGCGCGACGGTGGCGATCCACTCGCAGCTCGAAGATGCAAGAGTACTGGTTCATCTCTGGGCTGACGTCTGACGGCGCATGCACCGTCTAGTAAGTGCAACAGGTGCGGCGATACGTGCTCTCACAGAAAATGCCGTGGCCCCTGGACAGAGGACCGTCGATGAGTCCCGAGATATGTTCACGAGCAAGACGGGGATCTCGATCCCAGATTGAGCTTGCAGAGCCAACGCGACCAGAGCAGTCGCAGTAAAGGAGGGTGTCGAGTAGGTGGTCTTTCGCCACTTCGACCTCGTGGCTCGTTTTCCAGTGTTCGCTCATCATATTGTTGAAGACCTTCTGGTCCTCCCTAGAGAGCGTGTTGGCCTTCCTCCAGTGAGCTCTGATGTACTTTTCTTGCGGTCCAAGAAGTATCTCACCCTGCTGAGCTGGATGTCCTTCCAGTCCTGGAGCAGCGGCGTAATGATCCAGAGTCGCCGCCGCCTTCATGGCCCCGGTGACAGCTCCCCCAATTGGTGGGGGATTCTCGACAAAACCGAGGTTCTCCAGTCTGCATGCCGTTTCTTCTCTTCCGCCTGCTTCGCCGAGAATCTTGATATGTTCCATGATATCCTCGATGGCCTTCTCGCCTTCTGTCACCAGCTCCCCCCAACTGTCGACCATCATCTGCTGATTTTCCCGTGGGCGATGCCACAGGTTTCTACCGATCCTAGGGAGGTCGTCCCAGTTCAAATTGGGGATTATGGCCAGCGCTGCAGGTGCCCAGCGAGGCCGGTCGTGGAATGGCATCGCGACGAACTCTGACCGATGATGAAGATCAGAGAGGTCAGTGAGTCCGGTGTCCGTGCACATCTGGAAGTATGCGTAAAAGGTCGTCGTGGTCCCCAGCGTCGTCTCCGTTCGTCAGGCAGTCTTGCGCGATTTCGTACCCGAATGTGTTGCACGATTCAACCAGATTCTGAGCGATGCCCAGTGGCATTTGCGTCAGCAACTTCAGCCAAACGCGGAAAGTAGGCTGTCTCTGATATTAATGGTGCACGGTCATCATCTCCGACGTGGGGTCGTTCAAGGTATCGCTGAAGCTCGAGTCCTAAGCGGACGGCTGAGCACGGCTCGGTCGGTCGGCCACCGTCCGTTTCCTCTCGAAGTCAGATGGTCCGTCCTTCATCACCTCCACCTGTTTCATCAGGCTTTGCCTCATCTACAGGACCCTCTACTTCTCCACCTGCAGAATGTCGTCCAACGGTTGTTTGCATGCTGGTAGCAGGTCTGGTAGAGCGATGAGATCCTCCACAGTGACCCAGGCGCGGTAGCGATCTCTGGCAGGAAAACCAAGATCCTGAACACCCAGGCAGACCACTTCCCTTGGTCTTGTCGATGGGGATGTCCACCAACTCGTCCACAAGGATGCACCGTCCAGCTTCTTCGCTCAGTTCCCGACATGCCGCGCACCTGGCAGCGCAGTCGACATCCAGGTCTCCATGGTGAGCAACATTCAGATAGGCGCGATGCACTTGTCCTCCTGGAGTGGCGACCGCATTCGGATAGCTCGCCCCGGGGTCGGACGATGGACCAAGGCATTGACGCTGTTGCTGTCGTCGGGGGGCAGGAGGTGGACACCGACGGTCCCGGCGTACTTCGGTTTCGGGGAGGGGTGGCTTGTTCTCCTAAGAGGTCCTCCTCGGCTGTCTCCTTAGCGGTCTCCCTGGCGGTGTGGTCAGCGAAGTAGACGTTAACGCGAGGACGCTGTGCTCCTGTCGCAGGTCTCTTGGTTCCTCTCGCCGCTGGAGCTTCGCCCTCTGGCACCTCTGGGGTCGGCTCCAGATCTTCTTCTTCGCCCTCTTCTGATCTGGCCAGACCATCGGCGATGGCTCCCTTCTCGACGCAGTCCTCGTAGGGCAGCTCGCACTGCTGCAGGACGTTGTCGCCGTAGACGTGGTCCCCCGATGATGCGCCAGGGTGCCCACCAAAAGGCTCCACGTCCTCCGCAATGACTTCCTCCTGCTCGTCGTCGCCCTCGCTCGAGTCGTCATCCTCGTCCTCGACGTCCTCGATCTCCTCGAGCTGCTCGGTCTGGCGCTTGGCCTTTCGGTTCTGCCGACGCCTCTGGTGCTTATCCCTTCTTGCTCGGATGGCCTCCTCGGTCATAGGTTGAGCTCGCGCACGGCTTGGGCACCACGGAGCACCTGTTTGGCCATATCTCTCTCTCTCTCGATCGCTTGTACTATCTATCCACCTGCCGGTCGCACTATTGATCTCACCATCCCTTGATCTCACGACGTACCGATCACACAATCGGCCTCACTATCGATCTTACGATCGATTTGGCGATCGATCTCACTAACGATCTCATAGTCGACCTCACTGGACAACACGGGACACCGCGCCACAGGACATCAAGGGACAACACATAACACCACAAGATATCGCGCAACGGGACACTGGTCAGGCAACCCCGAGCCACCGCTGGCCACCCGGGGGAGGGGAATCCTTAAACCGAATCCGACTTCCTGGTGGGGGGACTTACGTTTCACTGCGATCTCACCCTCCAACCTCCGATATACAAAAAAAATCGAACGAAAGCACAGGAGAGGGGGGGAGATATAGGAGGAGGGGGGGAGCGAGGGGGGGGGAGATGCCGCAATGCAGCCAGAAGACGCGGGTCAGCTTCAGAAGCATTCAGAAAACCACATTAAACAGGGAGCTCTCTGGAATATTCCTGGACACCACGCCACTATAAAGAACAGCAGCGCCTGGCAGGGCACACGTAGACAAACTGCGCATAACATGCAACAACTGGACCACAACAACAAACCAATCATAATCAAACCACCGTGCGGGCACCCTGCAAAGGTCAACCACACTAAACAAGCATGTCAACAACACCACGTATACAAAATCATGAAACACATAGAAATCGCCCGATAGGGTCCAGCAATCCATGACGGTAACCATAACACTGCTTGTAACATCAAAACTCTACATGGGGCAATCGGCAAACCGTGTATGAACCCTGCTCAGAAGAAGACATCCAACCTACGGCAGAGGGAAACAGCAACGCAGGGAGCATCAAAATGAGCGCTTGGACTTAACAATTCTCAATCCCACGAAAAGCTTGGGACCTCTAGAACACCGAGTCAACAACACAACATGGCTGCGAGGACCTGAACAACACAGCAACACATCAAAACCCCTTAAAGCCCGCTTAGAACAAATCACACCTGGATGGCGCCCCGCCAGAAAGAAAATCAGCTCCGCCGACCCTTCGGCGTGTGGAGGAAGCTCTCGTCGTCGTGAGTCCAAGGGAAATTGAGGAACCAGGAAAGGGAAGGTCGTAGTTGAGTCGAAGGGAAGAGCCTTCCCTGTATCCCGCCCCTGCTTTGGGGCAGAGGGGGGGGTCGTTTAGGATAAAAGGGGGGAGGTCCTGGGTCAGAATACCACCCCCCCAGGGTCCTGGCGGGTCCTGGGGGGGGCTCGCCAGCGGGAGTCCTGGTGGAGGTCACGCCTTCAGCGTCGGCGGCGCCGACCGTCAGGCCGTCGTAATGACACTAAACCAGAACAGCGGCTTGCTCAGCCAAAACATCGAAAGTGAGCCTTTCACGGACACAAGCCATCGAGCTGCTCATAATCATCTAATGTGCATCGCCATGGTCCGTATGAGTGGTCACCAGGATTTGAACATCCTACCAGGGGAGATGCTGCCCAATTCCTGTCCCCCGAAGGCGGAGGAGGAGAAGGAGGAGGAGGAGGCACCTCCGGCGCAGCAAGCATCTTGCAGTCCACGCTGGTGAGCAGCGGGTCCTCCAGCTCCTGGGGGAGAAAACAACCCGCCTCACAATCTGAGGACGAGCAGGATGGAGTACAATGCGGGCGCGGCCGCAAGAAACCCTCGCAAGAAACCCAACCCTGAGAACCCATGCGCGAGGTGCACCTGAGGGGAAACCTGGAGCACCCTGAACGCAGCAGCTCCTTCAACGGCTGCGGGAAGTCACCGCGCAGCGCGAGGAGCGAAGAAACCCAGGATACCTTCACGAAAAGCATATGGTTTCTTGATGCGCGCCCCCACTGTACACTCACCGTGCTGCCAGCAGGAAAACTGCACAAGGGAGGACGGGGCTGCTCTGGCCACGGCTAGCCTCATCCACGAACAGGTTCCCCAACCTAGAATCAAAGAACAGTCCGAAAACCAGGGCCCCTCCAGAGCCTAACGTGGTGCTTATTTCAGAGCGTTGCCTGTGGGCAAATGACCCAGACCTTAGGGTATCGGGGAAAACCATAGAAACGGCCTTGTGTGGTGGCATGGAGCATATCTGGGACCCGTTTCGGGCCTCAGGACCGTCGCCATCGCGGTCGACGTCGTAGCCGCCGTTACCGTCGCCGTCGGCATCGTCTGGGGAGGGAGACATCCTTTCTTCCGTTCGCCCCGCTCAGTGCAAGCTAGGAGAGGGTACCGCTCAATCAGCTAGCATCTGATCATGGGGAGCGGCCCGAGGCAGGGCGGGAAGAGAGGAAGGAATCGGTGGGGCCCAGGGGAAGGGGTGAGAGGGGGGGGAGAGGGAGGAATGGGAGACGGGAAGGAGCAAAGGAGCGATGAGGAAGGGGATAGAGGGAGGGGAAGGGGAGAAAGAGGAGGGGGAGGAGCGGGGGCGTTGGGGGGGAGAAGAGGGGAAGGGAGAGCATGGGTGGGAGGAAGGTGAGATGGGCGGGAAGGGGAGAGAAGAAGGGGCAGGGAGGCACCTGAGCAAGGGAAGGCACAGAGGAAGGGAAGGCAGGAAAGGGAGGGATGCAGGATGCATCGAGGAAGGCGCGGGCCTTGTCTATGGATACAAGGCCGGCGCCTTCTAAGAAGCAGCCTCCTTCTAAGAAGCCCCCCCCCTCCCCCTGCCCGCCTCTGTGCGCGCCGCCGACGCGCGGCGCAAGCGCCCTGCGCGGAGATGGACGAGCGGCCTCCCAGAGCTCGCGAGGGTCGGAGGGGGTATGTGGCGATGGCGCGTCCCCCGCCTCCCTTCCTCCCCCTCTTCCTCCTCCTCCTCCTCCTCCTCCTCCTCCTCCTCCTCTCTCCTCCTCCTCCTCCTCCTCCTCCTCCTCCTCCCTCCTCCCCCCCCCTCCCCTCCTCCTCCTCCCCCTCCTCCTCCTCCCTCCTCCTCCTCCTCCTCCCTTCCTCCTCCCCCTCCTCCTCCTCCTCCTCCTCCTCCTCCCTCCCCCTCCTCCTCCCTCCTCTCTCTCCCTCTCCTCCTCCTCCTCCTCCTCCTCCTCCTCCTCCTCCTCCTCCTCCTCCTGGTTCCTGGTGCCTGGTAACACGAGGTCCCGATGGGTCTGCCGGGGGAGCAGGGGGGCGGGCGCGCCGAGCGCAAGCACGGGGCTGCAGCAAGCCCCAGGGCACCCGCTGGAAGGTCAGCTTGCGGCGGCTCCCGTGCCGAGACACAGTTGGGAGCCCTTGCTTTGCCTGCTGGATGTCCTGAGCGTCGCCGCTCGGCGCCTGCCCTGGGTATTGCCCTGTCGGCTGCACTCTCCGGTCGTTCGGCTCGCGGGGCCCCGCCTGCCCGGCAGGGTTCTCCTTTGGAGGCTCTTTCTCTACCCGCCCCTGGGGTCCCGCCTCCAGTTTGAAGCGGGGGGTGTCCCCCTACCTTGGGATTTTCGGCGAAAGCCAAGAAATGCGGAACAAATAATCCAAAATGGTAAAACAAAAAATTATGCTAACGGAGTTCCCCACATAAAGAGATTAACGGTTTCGTGGGACCCATTTTCTTGATGCCCTCCTCGCTTTGGCGGGGCCCCGCTTGGGAGGGGCACGAAACCATGTAAATAGTATGGTATTCCGATACCCTCCTCGCTCAGGCGGGGCCTCCCTGGAGGGGTGGGAGGGGCACGAAACCATGTAAATAGTATGGTATTCCGATACCCTCCTCGCTCAGGCGGGGCCTCCCTGGAGGGGTGGGAGGGGCACGAAACCATGTAAATAGTATGGTATTCCGATACCCTCCTCGCTCAGGCGGGGCCTCCCTGGAGGGGTGGGAGGGGCACGAAACCATGTAAATAGTATGGTATTCCGATACCCTCCTCGCTCAGGCGGGGCCTCCCTGGAGGGGTGGGAGGGGCACGAAACCATGTAAATAGTATGGTATTCCGATACCCTCCTCGCTCAGGCGGGGCCTCCCTGGAGGGGTGGGAGGGGCACGAAACCATGTAAATAGTATGGTATTCCGATACCCTCCTCGCTCAGGCGGGGCCTCCCTGGAGGGGTGGGAGGGGCACGAAACCATGTAAATAGTATGGTATTCCGATACCCTCCTCGCTCAGGCGGGGCCTCCCTGGAGGGGTGGGAGGGGCACGAAACCATGTAAATAGTATGGTATTCCGATACCCTCCTCGCTCAGGCGGGGCCTCCCTGGAGGGGTGGGAGGGGCACGAAACCATGTAAATAGTATGGTATTCCGATACCCTCCTCGCTCAGGCGGGGCCTCCCTGGAGGGGTGGGAGGGGCACGAAACCATGTAAATAGTATGGTATTCCGATACCCTCCTCGCTCAGGCGGGGCCTCCCTGGAGGGGTGTGATATGGTATGGTACGGTATGGTGTGATATGGTATGGTATGCTATGGTACGCCATGGTATTGTATGGTACGGTATGGTACGTATGGTGTGGTATGGTATGGTACGGTATGGTACGTATGGTGTGGTATGGTATGGTATGGTATGGTATGGTATGTGATGGAGCGGGAGGTGGGTGGGAAGGAGAGGGTGTTCTGGGAAAACAAGAACCCCACTCAGGATGTGGGGAAAAATTCAACAAGAAAGGTCACTGGACTATTTCTTACTATTTTTGAATATTTCTCCTGTAGAGGGACAGGCCCGACATGACAGTGGACGTGTGCCGAGCATCGGCGGCGCGCGAGGGGGGGACGTGAGAGGGAGAAGGCCTTCTCAGCAGGCGGCGGGGCTTCTCCGAAGCCCTCGCGCCCTCTGAGAGGTTGTCTGCGCCTTCGGGGGAGGCTTTGAACACCTCTCGGAAAGCTGGAGGACTTCCGAGCCTTCAGAACAGCCCGCCCCCTCTAGCTTCCCCCCCGGTTCGCCGCGCCGATGGATTTGTGCCGAGCAGTCAAAGGTGTAATTAACTCCACACTTCAAGTCGCTGACCCCCGGAATTCTCGACCCCCGTCCTGGGACCAGCCCCCGGTTCCGAGCCGTGCGGTCCCAGAAACGGCTCGAGGAGGCCGAAAGTGGCGAACACAACTCTTGCGCGATACCGTCGAGTCGCCAGGGGTCCACGGCGGGTTCGTCCCTGGCGCTGGTTTCTGGCACAGCGTGGATCGTTCAGCCCTGAACAATCGGCGGGCGTTCGATTGACAGATCGCTCCTTCCTGGCCGACTGTGGACCACTGGCGGCGTTCAACCTTGAAAGCCCGCGCTCGGATCGCAGCCGCGTCGACACGACACGAACCTACACCCCTGCTCAGAGATAAGGCAGGCTTTATTACGAAAATGGACGTCGCTCTCAGCGTTTTCTTGAACAGGAGCCCAGGTCCAGATAGATATACGAAAACCATGCGAAAAAGGAAGCTCCGAAAAAACGTCCAGGGTGCAGTCCAGACCCTCGAACCCCTTAAGCAGAACCCGGAGCCCATGAACGCTGCTGGTTTTCTTAATAAGAGTTCTGACAGGTGTAGCTCACGTGAAATCGGCTGGAAGAAGCAGGTCGAAACACGAAGCAGGAAGGCGTTGACAGAAGATTGGGTTTCCGCCCGCCCCCTCAAGATGGTGGAAAAGGTGAAACCACGCGATCATTGAAGTAGGAAGGCGCCTGAAGTAGATTGGAATCTGGGAGTCCAAAATACCTATACGACCACCCTTCGGGTGATCAGGAGGTTAGGGGATGGGGGGAGAAACCACCACCTGCTGGCACATGTGATGGGTGTGATGATGACGATGCGGGTGACGCGCCCTCGGGTTAGCGACGACGCGTGATGACGATGTTGCACTGCGATGTAATGCCACAATCGTGAACGCTGTCTACCTCACAACCAGTGTCACAAGCAACCGCACTGTCGATCTCACTGTTGATATTACTATCCATCCTATCCTGGTGATCACTGAATAGATCTCACTGTCGATTTCACTAACTATCGATACCATGGCGTGACACCGCCGGCCACCGCCCGCCCACCGCCGACGGAACGCCGACGGGACACCGACGGCACACCACAAGACACCACGGCGGGACACCCTGGGCCACCGCGCGCCCACCTGGGGGGAGGGGCGGTCCACTGCATCCGGATCGCCCTAGCGACGGCGGGGTCAATCCACTCGCGCGCCCACTCAACTTCGCCTCGCCCACACGCACGACACGAACACGAAACCGGAAAACGGTTTCCCGGTTGGAGACTCTCCGCTCTACTGCGATAACCTCCACTCTACTTTTAACGACCGTTGCGCATCTCACCCCCGAACCTCCGCCCTGCTTTGAACGACCGTTGCGCAACCTCTCGGAGGTCAGCACGGATCTCTTGGGCTTGGCTTAAGTCGGGCCTGTCCCTCTACATGGGGAATGTTCAAAAATAGTTGAAAATAATATTGGGACGATTTTTGGACCCATTTTGAATATTTTATGGCATTGTTTTACTATTTTTCATTTCTCGTCCAAAATCCCCCCTATAGGGGGACAGGCCCGACTGAACCATAACCACTGCGGCTTGGGCTTTTCGGGAAGGGGCGCCAACAGGCCTGGCTCCACATCTGGCCCCTGAGGGCCAGGTTCTCTTGCCCACATCCCCTGCGCGCAGCCCTGGTCTCTGGGGGAGGGGGCCCCGAGCTCCGAAGCATCCTCAGCATGCTGGACGCTGCTGGACCCCCAGCATCCTGCGTGCGCAACGCGCCAGGGGAGGGGCGCCACCCCTGGGCGCGCCTCGCACGACGAGGGGAGGCCCAGCCCCAGCAGCGGACCCCAGAAGTCCGCGCGGACCTCCGACGAGCTGGGTTCGTCCAGCTGCTCGTGAAGCCGAGGCCCGGACGAGGGCAAAATCGGGTGAGGAACAATCGAGGATCTCTGGGATCTAGAAAGAAGGAGAGGCGACACCAACGCCAACAGGGCGAGGAGATGCGCGGAGGCAAGGGGGGTCTCCCTGGTGGTGTGGTGCCCCCCTCTCGCTCGAGACATCCCCAGTCTCCCGCTCGGGGAGGCATTGTGGACTTCCTCGCTGGAGCTGGGTCCCCTGGTGGTGTTGGTATCGCTTCTCCTCCCTCCGAGGACCTGGCTGCTCTGGAGGATGTCTCAGGCGGCGCTCTGAGGGCGTCCCGGAACGCCCTGGAACGGATGTATCCTCGTCTTGGCCCGGTCCGATTTTTGTGCTTCTGAGCGTGCAGGCCCAAACGTGCCTCTGCGCTCGACGGCACTCGTACGGCGGAACGGCACGACACGAACGGACTCCGGATTCCATAATAAAGTCGGGGGGGTCACATCTGGGGGGGTCTGATTTGAGCTGTCTTGGAGGATTCGGGGGGGTCTGGGCAAAGGGCCGCCCTTTCATGGATGGTCTGGGGGGGTCTAAAACTTCTCGTCTGGGAGGGTTGAGACCCCCTCCCTTTTATTACGAAATCTGGAGTACTGCGAGCACCGTGCTTGACTGCACTCGCACGCGGCGCGGGGGCCGAGCGGGTCGGCCCGCGGCAGGGAGGGGCGCGAGAGAGCAGAGGTTGGGCGGCCGCGCAGCGGTGCCAAGGGGGGCGCGCGCGGGCGGGGCCTCCAGGGGCAGGACGGCGAAGCAGAAGCTGTGTCCGCATGAGGCCTCGGGCAGAGGCAGGGGGGGGGGACAGGGAGAGCGGGGAGGGGAGGGGGAGCCGATGTCTGACTGAAGAGCGAGGCTGAAGGAGGGCGATAGCGGGGTGGGCAGCCCAGGGGAAGAAACATCGACCTGGAATCGGCGAACCATCGCCCATGGATCGGCGATCGCCCCCCGATGGCGAATCCGCAAGTTCCTGGGCGGAGCGGGCTATCAAGCCCCTGTCTACAATCAATGGGCAATAGGAGGTCGATGCATACCCTGTGCCAACCCCCGCCCCCACGTGCCCCTGAAGGGAGGACGAGGAGGGGGATTGCAGCCTGATTGTTGAAGTGCGATGCCGGGCGAATCGAATCATAGAATGCTACAATGTTGCCGCAAGCGTGACTGACCCTCGCTGCCATGGCTGTACCAGATGGCTGAGAGACTCTGGCGTGCGCGAGGGCAACACACGAAGACAGGCAAAGAGGATGATGAAGGCGAACGAAGTGATCGAGTAACAAAGGTAAGGGTCGAGGAGGAGGAGGAGGAGGAGGAGGAGGAGGAGGAGGAGGAGGGGGAGGAAGGCAGGGTACCAACGGTGAGTAAAAGGACGCTGCGCCGGGGCAGCTCAGGGCTGAGCTGGAACGCACCGCAAGATCTGGTCGGATCCCAAACAGATCGGATCGCCCGCGACTCGTCCTGAATCGAATCGAGATCGGGATCTTCTGACCCGGGTCAATCCAGACCCGGGTCAGCAGGAAACCAAAACACTGCAATGCAGGAAAAAAACTGCAACGCAGGTCTTCGCAAACCCGGGTCAACCACCGTGCGCGGTCGCCTCGCGGCCACGAGCGGCTCGCTGACCCGGGGTCAGCCAGAGGGGGTCTTCGCACGATCCTGCAAGATCCGGTGCCCTGGCTGACCCCCGCCTGCATTGACCCCCGTCTCTTGAGCCCCGAATCGGATCGTCGCGCCAAGCTCCGGCTGGCCCTGGCCGATGCTGGTGAATCTGACCGAATCGATTGGCGGCGCGCAGAGGGGGGTTAGGGGGAGGGGGGGAGGCTTCTTAGAAGGGGGCTGCTTCTTAAATGGCGCGGGCCTCACATCTACAGAACAGGCAAGGCCCGCGCCTTCTAAGCAGGGTGCTTCTAAGAAGCCATTCCCCCTCCCCCTACGCCACTCTGCGCGTGGCCGAATTGAGTCGAATCGGAATCGCGGCCCCGACTGACGAATCGAACCGCATCGAATCAGACCGTAGGCGGCCCAACGTGGTGATGGAGGGGCTTGCGACCGATCGAGACCCATTGCGGCTGGGGGTAGTCATGCGGCTGCGCCCTCTCGGCAGCTCGAGCGGCGATGGCCCTCGCGGCAGAGCACCCATGCATCGAACAACAAAACTCGCGTGGGGCGTTTCGTTCGCGACTTCGGGGCGCTCACTGGCCCGCTCTGGGCCCCAGGACCAACGAAAAGACTGCCCGCAGCGGTAACCGGTCCCCAGCGTCGTGATCTGCTCGTGCGCTGCGTGAGTCCCCTGTGGTCTCGACCACCCACCCTTGAGTCGTATGTCTTGCTCGCCACGGAGCTCGAACTCGGCCTGCGGTGAATGGAATCGACAAAATAAATCGAACAACAACGCCAATCGTTTTCTTCTGGGACTGACAAGCGTGGGAGCAGATCGACAACTGAGTGGTGCCAAGGAAGAACTTCAGTGCAAGAACCTCACTAGGAGTGGTGCCCAGGAAGCCATGTGCGACAATCAGGACAGCATTGACCGTGCCTGACCCGCGAGATGGAGCACGCATGCACGTGGTGGTGTTTAGTGGTTGGTAATCTCCTACGCTGACGCATTGTCTATTGTTTTACGCCTGCGTATTTGAACAGAGGTTGCGAGCATGCAACACACGAACTACAAGGAGTATATCCTGTGATACATGGTGTTGTAACAACAACTGGGGCGCAATATTCGTCGATCTTTGCGGGCCCTAGGGTGCCCCAAAGCTTCTGTGGGTCCCTCGGGCCGCCGAGGGATGAGGGACTTCCGCGGGGCACCTGCTGGCAGGCCGATTTCTCTTTTGATGTGCCTACTGTGAAATGGGCAGCCCCATAGAATGGATAGCAAGTGTGTGTGTGTGTATGTGGCCGGTGCCAACATTGGCGCACGTGCGCATAAAATTAAGCCGCGGCACGGCCGCTGGAGGGGCGGACAAGGATGACGCGACAGAAAAAAAGGCAAGGGTTCCCAAGTTCGCGCTTCGCGCTGCGCGAAGTGCGAATAACTGCGCGCTCTCACGCCGCCTCCCAAGGGGAAAGGGAGGATGAGGAGAAATCGGAGCCGAACCGCGAAGCGCGAGTAACTTCGCGCCCCCGAAGGCGCCCTTGAAAAAGGGAGAGGAATAATGGGAAAAGGAAAAAGGCACAGCAATAAGGATCTGGATTATGCGTGTATGACATGTTTATGCAGATGACGCACTTTCGGTGGTGCGCTATGAAACAATATTGTGCCAACCGCGTGTTACGAGAGGCATGCATGGCGTGAAGCTCATCCAGAAGGATGCGAATGAGAACGTGCACTACTTACAAAACAGGACCAGGGTGGCTGTGGGTGGGAAAGCTTGAGCCCGAGCAGCCGCGAGGAGGCTTCATTGGGGCTGCGACGTAGCAAAACCGTGCAACGCACACTCATGCGGATGACGATTTTTCGGTGGCGCACTCAAATAACATAGGGTGCCAGCCAAGGGTTAGAAATGCCATGCATGGAGTGAGGCTCGTTCGACACATTCGCGCAGCCGAAACTCACAACGTAGCCGTAAAAGACCATTGCCGGGAGCGGAGAGGCGTCAAGCCTGAACCAAGAAAAGAAAAAAAACATTCGACTCAGAGATTCCGAAGGATCTTTGGCAACAGTCTTGCGAAGCGATGAGGATATTCGGCAGCCTTGCTGGTCATGGCCCCCCCTCCAACACAACGCGTTCGTGGCCAGGACGGAAAGAACAACAACTATGCTTCCTGTGACATGTCAGTTTCCCTGGGCATGCCAAGCAGTTGTCTCCAGACTCGGTCAGGCAGCTGAAAATTGCTCGGGTAGCGCCCCCCAGCGCGGATCTGAAAGCAGCCGGTTGCAAGTCCAGGACACGCGAGAAAGGCAATACTGTGGTCTTCATACAGTGGTGACGCAACATATACGATGTCGAAAGGTTCTCCTAGGCATGCGACACACCATGCCTCGAACAGAGGCCAACAACGCACGCATAACTTCACATACTGCCAACTCGCACCACTTCTCGGACAACGGCCCGCAATCTGGGGAGACCCCCAAGGCGCTCAGCCCTGCGAGCTGGATAACGGTTCCGAGCCAACGGGAAGGACGAACAAGGAGGGGCTCACGTCACAGCTCGAAAGCGTCGCTCAATCAGCCTTATGCTGTGAGAACTGAGATCATCCTTGTCTGGCCCACGCCTCGGGTCTAGGCCAGACGCTGGACACCCGAGCAACCTCGCGCACTTGGCGACTCCTTGCCTCCTGAGAATAGATCCAGCAGGCATGGCTCATTTGGGCGCTTGAGCTGCTGGCTCACGGGCCCGTCCGACAGCCCTCTCGGCGGGCGCGCGGGAGCACCGTCGCTGGCCGGCACCGCGGGGGCACGTCCCCCAGCTGCTTCCACGCGGTCACGCTGTGCGACTTTGTGCCCTCCTGCAGGCGCTCCCAGCTCTCGTTGAGTCGACCTGGCTGCTCGTGCCGTTTGACTGATGATACGGCTGCCCACCTTCCCCGCTTCTGAACCTCCTGCTGTGACCATCGCCCTGCGATGCTCCGCAGCGTCGGACGTGATAGTGCACGGCGCCCACCCAAGTGTCCAGGGCGGCTCGTCGGAAGAGGGTCAGGAACTGCGGGTAGCTTAAGCCCAGGAGGGGCAGCGATTACCCCGTGTCCTTCAGGGCCCGATACGCATGACTCATCCAAGGGCAGCGTCCTGAATCGCAAGGGACGGCGTCGTCCGACGATCCCACTTTGCTCCGAGCGACCCCCGCTTCTGGACTCAGCCAAAACACCCAATTCTGAACAGCGTGCACGTTGGGAGCCAGGAAGGAGTTGCTCGTCGAACCCGGCATCTCTCCCGGCCGCAGCTAGCACCCCACCATGAGCAGCACCAGTGCCCCTGCCAAGGGGGGCTCCCAGGCGGCGCAGTCCCACTGCCACCGCTGCCCAGATCGCATGCACCAAGGGCTTCCGCGAGCGAGATGGCGACAGCTTCTTCCGACTTTTCAGGAGTCGCAGCCAACGGGGCAAATTCAAGCCGCCATGGTGGCCATAGTCCGGGCGGAAGAAAATCACCCCGGCCATCAGCTTCTCTCCCCGCCAAGCCTTGACACCCTGTAAGAACTCCCAACCCATGTACCTCGCCGAGAGAGCGCCCCGATCGGTTGGCAACGCGATGGCCGAAATACAGCCGCCGGCCCGAGCGCAGAATTCGAGGACGCACTGGCGGTGGGTCTCGAGCGTGGCTGCACCCACCGACCGCCTCTCGAGGTAGCTGATCCCCAGGCGGCTCTCGGCAGGGCTGTCCCCGTTGTCCTCCAGGGCCGCGATTGCCCTTCTCGCCCCGGCCTTGCCGCGGGTAGCGAGACGCCTCAGACGGCTGGCGGTGGCAGGAAGCTCCTCTGCGTCGCTGCTGTCGCCACTCTGGCTCTCCGCCTATCCCGCGATGGCCTCGCGGCCGGTGGGCGCGGCGCTCGGGCCCGGCGACTCGCGGCGCTCCGCGCCCAGGATGCTCTGCGCCGCCCCAGGGGCAGACGGGCCGATCCCTGCGATACCAGCCCGGCAGCTAGCCCTCGGCTCCGATCCAGCGCCCGAGCCCCCCACGGCAGCGGTGCCCCCAGCGCGGCGCGAGCCGCCGGCCCAGCGCTCAGCGCTCGCGCCCGGCGTCTGGCTGCGGGGCGCGGCGGCGGCGGCGTCGGCGGCGCCCTGCTCGGCGTCCTCTCTCGGCGCCCTTCGCGCCCAGCTGGGGCGGCCAAATGGGGCGTGTC